TTGGTCGGTGAGGAACCTCACAAATGCGATTAAACTCCTCAAGGGAGGAGCCAAGGTGGGAATATTCTATTCAGTTCCCAGGATACTGTGAAGTGCTCAGTAAATATTAAACACAGCAATCAACAGGGGCAGGTGGAGTCCAAAGTCAACAAGCATCCGGGCAAACACAGTGGTCCAGGTAAACTGTCCCCCCACAGTAGCCTAGATAAACTGTTCCCCGTCCTGTCAGGAGGCCTGGTCTCCATAACACGTGAAGAAGAAAGGTCTAGCCCTCGGTGTGAGCTCGGCAGATTGCAGCTCTGTCCTGAAATGCCTTCTTCTACCTTAGGAACGTTATGAATACAGGCTGCCAGCAGCGTTTCTTCTGCGGTAGGGAAGAGCCATGAAAAGAGCTAATAACTGTGCTTTGGTTGCGTGGCTCTTCCTAAATCTGACTGCTTCAGCACAAAACAGAATGCAGGCCTTTGGCAAATAGGGTGTGTTTGTGGGTCGCCAGTGCGTCCAAATCTCATGAGGTTTCACCAGATGGAACCGGGCTTGGCAATTTGGACCAGCACCCCCAATCCAGGCATTAAATATTGGGGAGTAGAGGTAGAACCCTCATCAATTTGGTGCCGATTTCCCATTGCAGATATTACCTGTTGTCCACCTTTACACCTATATGATTCCAGGCTGCTGTCAGAAAATTTAAAAATGCAGTAAGTAAAGTTTCCAGATGGTGGCCTGATCTCCTCCTTGCATGGAATATGTTTTGGGGGTATGTAGACACAGCCTGCACTAAAAATCTGTAGAAAAAACTCAAATTCATGTATTTTTATGGAAGTAAATGATGATTTCTAGAAGTTGTACTTTACAAAAGCCTCTAGTTTTACCAAAGCTGAAAAACATGACCTAAAAGAAACAGGAGCCAGGATTCTAGTTATTTCACACATAGACTGAGGTCCCTCTTATACTGATAATCCCTTCTAATAGGTGTTAAAGCTCTCTGTTAGCCTAAGAATGAAAACATGCCTTTCCATGCCATGCGAGATCAGAAACATTAGCCCATTATGGGGTGACCCTTCTGGGAGCAGGAATGTGTAGTTAGGCCCCAAAATATGTCTCCTAGAGCCAGACAGCACCAGTGGTGACACTAAACATTGGACAAATCCCGTATCACTTTCTGGAGAAAAAACCAGAATCTTCCCAGCTCTTTTGCAATCTAGAAGCTCCCCCATTATACCGTAGACTCTCAGGTTCATTTATCCACAAATTATAGAAAACAAACCCAGCCCATGTTGTATCTATATCAGAGGTCTCCGATTCCTAAAATTAGGAATCTCAAGGTTTTTTTAAGTTCTTAAAATATATATGATAAATGATTATAGAAGCTGCTTTTCTTGAACACAGCAGTTTGGTTCCTGAGAAGACAGTCATAATAAGGTTT